TATATAGATATATATAGTATATATATATATATACTATATATTATATATATATATGTACTAACCACGCAGATTATTAATATGACTATGTATTTGTATACTATAATATGGCCTAATAATATCATTATATAAAATGGATGTTATACTTAATTATAGGCGATATTACCGTATATTATAGGCTAGGACTTATATATATAATATATTTGTATACTATAATAGGGCCTAATAATAATAATAATAATAATAATAATAATAATAATAATAATAGTAATAATAAAAACAATACGATTAACAACAAATATAATAAAGCTTATAGGCCTAATTGTTATTATTGAATATACTCATATAGGCTAGTACTAAAAATAGGCCTCTATAACTATCTGTTGAACAATGAACATTATTTATATGACCCCATTCACACGATAGGCTTAATTACTGGCCTGATGTTATATGAACAACTGTATCGTTTATGCATTGAATAAATCGAAAGATTATTGATAGAGAATACCAGAAGAACCGAACATCGATGAAATAGTATCGAGTGTTAAATGTTCGATGTGTGGAATAGAACAGAAACACGGCCGATCATGCCAACCGATTGATGGATTACTTAATCTAGGTAGATTAGTGCACATCATAATCATGATAATTAACGTAATCATTTAATTAATTAGGTCTCTGTGATGACACTCATTGGACGGTAAGTGAAATTAAATGGAAGAATAACTTCATAATCATCGAATTCTGTAAGGTGTATTTATTTTACTGTGCAGTAGATAATATACCTGAATTTGAAAATAATTGTTCTACGATTATATTTATAATATAAAATAATGATAATAATAATAATAATGTTTCATAATAATAATAATAATAATAATAATAATAATAATAATGTTTAATAATGTTTTTAAATACGTCTTTGCACTTTCGCACGTAACTGTTAGCATGAGAAATTATAACGCATTGCATCTAATAGGCCTTATAAGAATATGTTAAAATGATATTAGAAAAAAAATACGTTAAAGTAAAAATAATAAATAAGGATATATGGTATCTAATAAAATATATAAAATAGTCTATCAGTCATAAATTGATCTTGTCCGTAAAAAGATATAAAGATAAACAACAGTCTGTATTATCGCCACCATACTATGATAACTCAATTTTAATAAATTCAATATTTAATGAATAGATTGTAGTGAATTAAAAATATTTATGGTAGAAAAGTATGTTTTCAAAGTTGATCATAGTATCACCACTGACAAATCAAACGATCTAAAAGAAATCTGGTGGCAATATTGTACTCAACCGTTACAAGGCCATAATAGTTTATAAAAAGTCAAACGTATTCCAAATATCACGCGATTGATTTCTTCCCGGTCTCGTAACATTTATATAGAATATTATTATTAGAGTCGAGATAAAATAGCAATATAATGTCTTCATCTTCTAAAATAAAGGTTGATTTATTAGCTATTGAATGTCTAAAAAAATGTGGGCAGCGAAAAGAGAATTGTATCGTATAATCATGGACCTCCATGGTATAATTATGTTGGTACCCGTTCTTTGTTATACAAACCATCGTGTACCGTATTTCTGCTACGAATACGATGATGCTGTACTCTGATTAAACAATTGCTGAGGTGTTAGTAAGTTACGAATAGGAATTTATTATATCTATAGACAATTGTATTAACCATTGGCTTGTATACTTAATATCTTGTTATCATTTGTCTTTACTACAGTGTCAAGTGCATTTTAGATTGTATGATAGGGGTTTGTATATATACGTAGCGCTCCATGCTGAAGTACTTGAAGTCTCCGGTCTCAGCCACCAATTGAGAGTCTTGTCACTTTTAAGTACGGTAGATGGACCTATCTATGATGATAGGCCTACTTATAGTTTTCAAAGTAGGCCTACAAAGCTGAATACTATCACGCTACCTAAGCTTCAGTTTTAGTCCAGAATATTTCCAAGAACTATAATAAGAGTGCGCTAATAACTTTGCCACTAAACGTTAGTCCTATATTAAATGGTGGTTGTATAATATCGAGAACAAACACACAAAAAGAGGTTAAACCGTGTCTGTTTTCATAGAATCACAAAGAATTCATTTATTTATTCATGAGATAGCCGTCACCAAAAATAGAATCATTTAGCGAAAATGGTGATAATTTCGACCAGTTAAACATGCTCTTTCTCAACGTTCATACAGTATACTTACGTCTGCTATTATGAAAAATAACTGAGTTAAAATAAAAACCCGACACATAACAAAAAATGATTCAAAGTGTTTCTATGGTTCACATCTCCGCTACTCTCAACGATAAATATACCTCTAAAGTGTTTTAAAATATACAACTTATTATAATTCACCGTACAAACAAAATTGCAATTTAAATAAATTATTCAATACACTGTCCAGAAATAAAAAACAACTAATAACGGAAAAAAAACTTCAAAATGTACACCGCCACGAACCTCCAATAACATAATAAAGACGTAAAATGTTTTCTAACAATGTCTATTATCTCGGAAAAAAATATTTAAAAAATGAATTTTTACTGTATTTTTAAAACCGTGAGTACGATAATATACGTATAAATTGCAGAAAACTCTCATTTTCTAGTGACATTAAAATAACTTAAAATCCGTTTACTCGTTCGTTGTCAATCGCAATTATCTTAACTATGTTTGTCAGCTAGTACGAAGTTTTTTATAGCATTTATTCTGAGTATTGACAATTCAAATATTTTGAAAGTATTTTCTTTAAAAAGAACTTTCCGTAATAAATTTATAAAATGCGCTGTTGGTTCCAAATCATATTTAAACAAATTTTAGGAAATCTGTCAAGTAATACCTACTGTTAAAATCGACATTTTAAAATATTATTATTACAAGTAAATATAGAAATTGTTGCTTATTGCGGATTGTCAAGCCAATTAATTTTGAAACATACTTTGGAAATACTGTAAATGTGTTCTCTTCTAAATCACAAAAAATACCACCGGTTCTATATTGTTTTTGAATTTGTATGACTACATTTGAAAGTTCTATTTTATAAAAGTTTACCAGTCCACTTACATGCTACCTCAGTGAAGTTTTAATTGGGTCCATCCTATTACTTCGGTGTAAACAATCTCCGAAGCGACCCCTTCGGTGACGGCTGACATTTATCAAATTGCGTGACATGACTTACACTGATTCGTGTTTCTAGTCGCATTTTTTGCAAGTACAAATGGACCCTCAACGATTAATAATTAGATTAACTGAGTATTGCCAATCATTTCATTTAATTAACAGTTAATAACAAATGTAATAATAAATCATTTTTTTAATGATCATAACTAAACTAAAGACTACTATAGTCAGTACGGTATACGTCAGAAGTTAAACAACCCACCGTTAAATTTGAAGTCGAAATGTAAGGAAATCAATAAAGTGCACTTTGAAACAACAGTAGCAGCAGTGTTCATCTTACTCGTAACATCCGACTGACGATAGTTTTTAAATGTTAAATAGACCCTAGTCGTAAGCAGGATATGGGCCTGATGTTGGATACACGGGAGTCGAAGGCGTTGATCTATAACTTGAAGAAAGTTGGCAACTCTGATTAGGTGCTGCGGAGCCTAGTAAACGAGATGAGTCGTACATACCCGAGTAAGGTGTCGTAGGAGAGGTATTCCGAAGATCAGTCCCGTGGTACCATGGGTTTGAACGTAAACTTGAAGTACCATTCGTATGCGACATAGCAGTTTGTCCATGTGGGCTATGCCTGGGTATGACGTCTTGTTGATGATGAAGCTCTTCGGGTGTGGGAGCTATAGACATATGTTTGCCTACAACTTCATGAGTGTACATATTTTGCGAAGTATTGTTCAGGCTACAATGATAATTCAGATGATCACTACCTTTTGTATAAGAATGTGTGGTGTACATGGGCTGATGTTGCGAGAACGAAACTGGTTGTGGTGATACTAAATGATCAACCGCCCGAGATGGTATGCCTTGGCTAGTATTCGCAGTGCTCAGGTCCGCTGCATTGTCTCTTTGTATAGTCATAAGATTTTCAACAGTAAAGTTTCCACCAGTAGGTGGTGGACTTGAGTCAAGTGGATTGGCAGATAGTCCTCGCGCTGTTTGTTGCGTAGTGTCTGTCAACATGCTATTAGGAGAGTCTAAGGGTTCGATCTTTGGCGTAACATTCGTGATAGATGAGTTGCTACCAGGGTTGCTATGAATACTAGGTGGGCTAGCAGCCACCGAGTTCGAATTATTCAGATTTTCTGAGCTACCCATAGAGTCTTTACATGCTAGCGATTGCTGTTGAATGCCTGGAATCATTGTATCTTGGACCCTCTGTCGATCTTCCTTATCTTTCAATGCATCCTTCTTCTTAAACCGTTTACGCCGCCTAAGGTAGCTTCCATTATCAAACATATTATAACTGTCCGGATCGAGGGTCCAGTAGCTACCCTTACCTGGTTTCTTGTCATCTCGTGGAATTTTGACAAAACATTCGTTCAGAGATAAATTATGGCGAATAGAGTTCTGCCAGCCCTGTTTATTTTCTCTATAGTATGGAAAACGATCCATTATGAATTGGTAGATTCCATTCAAAGTAATCTTCTTATCCTGAGCATTCTGAATAGCCATAGCGATGAGAGCTATGTAAGAGTACGGAGGTTTCACCATGTCCCTTGGGTTGTGGTTATGCGTTGGATAAGGTCCATAAGGCCTGGCTATCATGTTGGTAGCGTACTGTTCCGCTCCGTACATTGACATCATGCCAGAATAGCCTCGGTAGTAATTTTGTTCCGGGAACATCGAATGAATCATGCTCATATTGCCCGTCATCCCAGAGCTAGGATGAGCCGAGGGAAACCCTGGCTGCATAGCGAATTCGGCGCACGAAGCAATCTTGCCGGTATGCTAAACAAATTTACTAGACGAGAAATTTGTTGAAACACACAAAAGTCAAGCCGTTGAGACAATATAAGTTTAGTTATGTCTAGTGGTCCTGTGCTCTAGTTAGACTCTTACGGTCTTCTCGGCAAATTGGTAATCATGAATCGTATAAATTCACCGACACCATGCCAAGCTAGTTGATGATATACCACTTAAACTCCGCCTACATAACTCTTCAGCCAATCAACGAACCGGAACGCCGACCACCCATAGTGTTGCCCACACATATGGAAACCGTTGCATACTACTGCTTGCACTTGTCACTATATTCTTATTGCGATCCTCAAATAAATTTATCGACAATTTTACACTTCTGTATTTCAATGGCTCACTCATGGGCGAATGCTAAGCCGATGTGTGCGTTGTAGGCGTGGATAGACGTTATAGTCAATTACACACTTCACAATGACACTCCCTTCCCAGTGTTCTAATTTACTTAATTACAGTAATGATGGTAGAAAATACATAAAAACGTTTACTAGTTCATCTTTTGTATTATTTATCTAACGTTTATTTTTTATATTAGAAAAACAGGCAGCCAGTTTTATTTATTTTGCACAATATGAGTGATAGCTTTAAGTTGGTTTCTTTTAATTAGAAAACGAATTCTTAAGATTTAACGCTGAATATGAAATGAACAGGAATACAATATACTTAAAAATTGTATAAGTGTCTGTTTTGTAATGCGTAATTTCTATTTCAAAATCATTTATTTTTGTGATTGTTGTGAAAACAATAATAATACAGGCCTATAGGCTTTAGTTCATTAGGCTGTAAATGCTAACAGAATAATTTCGAAACAGTTGGTCCAACCAGGTTATCATCTTCCGTACCCAGGTGTTAAGTATTATGTGCAAAGGAGATGTTTTTGCAATAGGGAAAGAGATGCATGTTAGCCCTCAAAATACATCTGATGAAAAGTAAATGGTAGATATAGTGAGATGTTCGTTAAGCAGACGTAAGAGCGTGACAAAAGACAAATTGCACCCAGCGTGTCCTGTATATGTTAACATACATATTAGTAGAATAAGATACTTAGACAGCCAATTACATTTGAAAATTACCACCGGCCTACTAATATAATATTTCGTTAATCTCACTACAGTACAGTGTTACAATCCAATATCGTATTGCTAATCAACGAATTTCTTAATATCTATATTATTTAATAAAGCTATTGAGTCAATAACCGATTAAGATAGAAACCGAGCCGTAAGTACCCGCTTCTTTTATTATGTTCTTATAACCCGTTAGTTAACAATTGTTGTATCAGCCGACGAATTCGTAAGATCAGTTAGCAGTGGCTTTTAGCTGAACCATGGCTGAACTGAACACAAGAGGTTTGTTTTCACCGGGCAAAACGTGCAAGAGGGCGCCAAACATTTCGAAGTTATCAGTAACGTGTCCATTTGGAAGAATATTGTAATGTAGCCAGCTCTACGTCATACTGTACAATATTTACATACCATACAAACACACAGGTATTAACGGCTATCTTGATTTATA